CATATTCATTGACATGAGAATGGTAAACTAACAGTTATTTCAATTTATGATTTCTTGATACAGGGCAAATTTCCTGGTTTCCTGTATAGGTTGTCTCGATTGCCCAGATATAAGATACTTTTCACCTTTTTTTGTCTCAGGCTGAAATCTAACCCTTCCTCAGGGGAGGAATTAAGGATTTTTTTAGTGTAGTTGGCTAGTGCATGGCCTTCTGTGAAGGAGGTCCCAAGATCAATTCCAACAAGGTGTGACCTCAAATCCTTCTTTCGGCTTCTTTCCTGTCCATGTAGTTTTTATGTAGCTTTGAATACCTGTAGTCTCCAAATTGCATATCATCTGCTGAAGTTATCACCGCTGAGCCAGAAATAATCTCCCTTATGAACCTGTATAAGTAAACTTATACTTTAAATTTTTCAGGAAAATGATGAAGATATTGATGAAGATGACCGCTATGATGACTTTGATCCTCGTAAACCTGCATCACCAGGACCAGCTTTTGATCCTACCCAGTTCAAAGATGATCCAATGGCCCTGATGAAGTTGGCTAAGAAGGGAAAAGTTTTGATGATGTTTGCAACAGTGGCTGGTTCACCAAGTAAGAAAGACACTGAGCAAATAACAGCAAGATGGCAGTCCAGTCTTTTCAACGCACAGATTCAAGTTGAAAGGTACATGTTACAATAGTTGCAATAAGTCGTTGTAATGAGGTTGATTGTGCGGTATGGTTATTGCATTTTACTTTTAGGGGAAGTTCAGGTTAGAGTCTTGCCTGTCCTATAACCATTGGGTTGTTCATTTTAGGTTTAAAAAAAACTCTGCTTCATGTTTCTTTCTTCATGAGTATAAAGCCACTCGGCTTCGCCTTGTGGCGCTCATTTATTAAACATTACTTAATCAACAGCTGCTATATATATATGGGCTTCATCATAAGTAAGTTATCAACTACAATCAAATTGGGTTTGGAATTGGATTCAATCGAATCTTAAAATAAAAAAAACCTCTTTCTCGAGACTTGGTGCCAAACTATGGAATGAGATACCAACCAAGTTGCACACACTTTCAAAACAAAAATTCAAATTTAATATTCGTGCATCATTGCTTGATTTATTGGAGACTGGCGATACTTATTATGAAATAGATTAAATTATTCTTAAAATGAAGAAAGCAGAACCAATTTTTTTGTAATCCTGCCTATAAAAACAGCTAGCTAATGTTTTGTTTTCCTTTCCTCCATAGAGTTTCAAATGCATCTTTTTCATATGTTTTTCTTTGTAAGATTATAATTTTTGCAGTTATAAGTTAATTGCTCCATATTTATTTGAAAACTGATGAATCTCTCTTGCTTACTTTTTTTTTACCTTACTGTCAAACTCAGAAAACCATGAACACCTGAAAATTTTCAGGAATGTTGATTGTGTACTGGCCAATCACAATAAAGTTCAGGATACGCAAGCAAACCTCAAAACCACAAACTAATTACCATTGCTGTTTGCAGTTTAGTTATCTCGCGCCTTATTGGCTTATTTCTCACAACACAATAACATTTCATAAATATTTCTGGTGTTTACGGTTTTGTTAGTTTCACAGTAATTCAATTGCAGTTATTTTTTTTCCGTATCATTCCTTGCCCGCCTAGACTAGCTAGAACTATTTGCAGTCCCAGGACACTTGTAAAAATATTCTTTATAAAATTTATAATAAAGTCTTGAAGTCTAAACTACAACACCGCAGGTGTTGGACTAGACACTGTTATTATTTTCATCCTAGGTACCTTGTTTCTGATGACCGTGTACTATTGATGCTCAAAGATGGCAGTCTTGCATGGGATGTAAAAGACTACTTAATAACACAACCAGACTGTCTGTTGGTGGAGTTTGAAAATCAGCAGTTTCCAGGAGCTGGAGACAAAACTAAGTCATCAAAAACAGAACTCTGACATACTAAGGCTTCTTAAGAAACAATGATAAAAAATATTATAAGCCTCCCACACCATCTTTGTAGGGAATGTAAATGGAGAGAGGTCACTCCCATCACAGGAGTAGACTGCAAAACATTTTTTTTCTCGCAAAATTGCTGCTCACAAGGTGGAAAGCGCCAGCCTAGAAAGCACTGTATTTTTAGCATCTCTCCTCAGCCTCTCTCTCTCTCTCTCTACTCTAGAACTTTTTTCAAGCACCAGAGTGAATCAGACCTTGGCAGGAATAAAATGACCTTGCTTTTATTTGCCAACTATTTTTATAAGTGTTTTCATGTTGCCTTTCTGAGATTAATTGTTTTTTTCAGTATCACACAGTTGGGAAAATCAATTATTGTAGACATCACCATGAATTGTGCAGAAACCACAGAACAGACATGACATGACATGATGATATTATGTACTGTCTAGGTTGTGTCCTCTAATTTTGGTACATAAGGTGACACTCCAGTGACACCCCCACTCCCCACTCTACCAACAGTGTTCAAAGGTCGACCCATACTTGTTCATACATGGCAGAAAATTCTGATGGTGAATTTTAAGCTTGGTGAATAAAAAATAATAATAATTCAATAATGTTTGTTATTTTTTAGTCTTAGTTTAATGTGCACGGCTCTTTAGAAGACCACTTTTTAGTGATAAGGATTCCGTGGTTAAATAAAGTTATTACTTACTTACTTTAAGCTCTATTTTTGAGCTAAACAGCTTTAAGCTTTTATTATTTTTTTCTTTCCCCTCTGTCTTGCACTCCACGCCAAATGCCACATTTGCCTTGCTTGGCTCATAAAGCATCAGTTATGCGGCTAGACAACTCCAAACAGGAGTCCAACCTATGCTCTGCCACTAGGCTACAGGAGCTAGACTAGTGGGAGCTTTCTTAGGCCACCAAACTACGGTATGTACATACATGCAACAAACATCCTGCATACATACTGCTAGGACTGAAATGTCATATACTTATGTGCAACGATAAATGTGAATACGTGAGAAATAGGTGAATTTAGTCAGTGACACAGGTTAAACAGAAAAAAAATTTGAGTACTCCTAATAGGAGTTGTGCCTTCGACTTTCTGGTCACTAGTTCAGATGCTTTTCCATAGCCCCCCAAGTAGACATTTTAAGGTATTCATCAAGCAATTTGTCCGGGGGGCATTTGATGAGGTTTTATTTCCAACTTCTGTATTGTCACCAAATTGTCTCGAAACCAACAGAAAACACAAGAAGACAAACAAAGGACTAAAGATGAGCGATACGTATTGAAAAGAATGGTAGAAACGTTTTAAATGTTACCATGAGAATCACACGTTTTATTCCCCGACAATAACAATCCTTTATTGTCGTAGCAAAATGTCATCACGGTGTTCAGAGAGCACCGGTTCAGTTTACAAAGGCTAGACTGTTGCAGGCTCCGAGATAGTCAGGTCCTCTGAATCAAGAAAGCACGAACAACATCCTAGGTACCTTGTTTCTGATGACCGTGTACTATTGATGCTCAAAGATGGCAGTCTTGCATGGGATGTAAAAGACTACTTAATAACACAACCAGACTGTCTGTTGGTGGAGTTTGAAAATCAGCAGTTCCCAGGAGCTGGAGACAAAACTAAGTCATCAAAAACAGACCTCTGACATACTAAGGCTTCTTAAGAAACAAAATGATAAAAAATATTATAAGCCTCCCACACCATCTTTGTAGGGAATGTTAATGGAGAGAGGTCACTCCCATCACAGGAGTAGACTGCAAAACATCTTTTTTCTCGCAAAATTGCTGCTCACAAGGTGGAAAGCGCCAGCCTAGAAAGCACTGTATTTTTAGCATCTCTCCCCAGCCTCTCTCCTTATCTCTCTCTACTCTAGAACTTTTTTCAAGCACCAGAGTGAATCAGACCTTGGCAGGAATAAAATGACCTTGCTTTTATTTGCCAACTATTTTTATAAGTGTTTTCATGTTGTCTTTCTGAGATTAATTGGTTTTTTCAGTATCACACAGTTGGGAAAATCAATTATTGCAGACACCACCATGAATTGTGCAGAAACCACAGAACAGACATGACATGACATGATGATATATTATGTACTGTCTAGGTTGTGTCCTCTAATTTTGGTACATAAGGTGACACTCCAGTGACACCCCCACTCCCCACTCTACCAACAGTGTTCAAAGGTCGGCCCATACTTGTTCATACATGGCAGAAAATTCTGATGGTGAATTTTAAGCTTGGTGAATAAAAAATTAATGAGAAAGATATTTTCTCAGTCAGTGACACATGTGGCTTATAAGAAAAAATCTGAGTATTCTTAGCCTGCATTAACAGGTGCTTTAGGAGCCAAGTGAGGCATTTTGCATGAAGCATGAGATGAAGAGAAAAAATAAAGTTTTAAGATTTTCTAAGCATTTATTATAGGACTTTTTCAATAATGTTTGTTATTTTTTAGTCTTAGTTTAATGTGCACGGCTCTTCAGAAGACCACTTTTTAGTGATAAGGATTCCGTGGTTAAATAAAGTTATTACTTACTTACTTTAAACTCTATTTTTGAGCTAAACAGCTTTAAGCTGTTATTATTTTTTTCTTTCCCCTCTGTCTTGCACTCCACGCCAAATGCCGCATTTGCCTTGCTTGGCTCATAAAGCATCAGTTATGCGGCTAGACAACTCCAAACAGGAGTCCAACCTATGACCCTCTGGTTACTTGTCCAGATGCTCTGCCACTAGGCTACAGGAGCTAGACTAGTGGGAGCTCTCTTAGGCCACAAAACTAAGGTATGTACATACATGCAACAAACATCCTGCATACATACTGCTAGGACTGAAATGTCAATACTTATGTGAACGATAAATGTGAATACGTGAGAAACAGGTGAATTTAGTCAGTGACACAGGTTAAACAGAAAAAAAATTTGAGTACTTCTAATAGGAGTTGTGCCTTCGACCTTCTGGTTACTAGTTCAGATGCTTTTCCATAGCCCCCCAAGTAGACATTTTAAGGTATTCATCAAGCAATTTGTCCAGGGGGGGCATTTGATGAGGTTTTATTTCCAACTTCTGTATTGTCACCAAATTGTCCCAAAACCAACAGAAAACACAAGAAGACAAACAAAGGACTAAAGATGAGCGATACGTATTGAAAAGAATGGTAGAAACTTTTTAAATGTTACCATGAGAATCACATGTTTTGTTCCCCAACAATAACAATCCTTTATTGTCGTAGCAAAATGTCATCACGGTGTTCAGAGAGCACCGGTTCAGTTTACAAAGGCTAGACTGTTGCAGGCTCCGAGATAGTCAGGTCCTCTGAATCAAGAAAGCACGAACACGAAAATAAACCGGGAGGAAACTTTTCGCGTGCTTTTCACTTTCGCGTCCTTTACAATATCTGAGAGCCTGGAACAGGCCTTACAAAAGTCAGTAAACCTATCCGGCGGGGGTTACCTGTGGAGCACCCACAAAGCAATTTCCCATTAGCTGTTTTTGCCTACACAACTAATATTTTGAGATTTCCTTCAATCTTTTGCGTTGCAAAATTATCCAGTTATCGTGATAGAGCGTGAACAACACCTAATCCGGTCTTCGATCCATGCTTTGCCAACGGCTGCTCCTTTGCCTCTCATGTAAGTTTTTCTAACTGACCTTTTCTTTCTTGATCTAATTGTATTGTAATTATTTTAGTTAAAGCCTTCTTCTATTCCTGTAAATTCTTCACGTCTTTTTTTTGCTGACCTCAGGCCATTTAAGCCCCCGGCTTTGGCTGTTCTTGTGTATTTTTTTCTTCCAGGAAATGATTAATTAAACGTATTATTATTATTATTATTGATTATATATTATAAGCTTATATGCTGCCATTTTGAAACTATGTCTTACATTTCTGAGAGGATTTATCATCTCAACTTGCTACATTCGACTTCAGCGAAGCTTCCGCTCTGCAAATGGCCGGCAGAACAAAGAAAGATTGGGGAAGAATTGACGACAAACGTACAAGGCTTCTGATGATTTAAACACAGACAGCTATACGCAACAATGATATGTGTTATGAATGGGCAAATAAGTTTGCTGCAATTATGGTTCCAAACGGCGGGTATTAATTTAAAAAAACTGCAAACTCCCCATAAATTAAAAAAGTTAGCAAGGTTAACTTCTGAGAGGGTCGAGAGTCTTAGGTTGTCCGGAGGAATAGCGTCGCCTTCTCTTCCTCGCCGCCATCTTTGAACCACGTGGCGAGCATTGAACGCTCTGCAAAGCAAACATACGTTAGTTCAAAGGAGCTCTGACACTGGCTATTGACTTTTGAAGATTTAAAAAAGGGTGGTGGACACAGTGAGAGTAAGCCCCGTTGAGTTGAACACCAGCCACGATGTCAGCTTGCATAACTTTGCTTCGACAAACCGTCCTTCCCTCGTCCAGCTCTGCAAGACGCTTCTTCGCCAAAAGACTCGAGAAAAACTCGCGCCTTCACGACTGGCACTCTCTGCCTCTGGTCCGGGGACTTTCCCCAAAGCCAACAAAGCGTTGTTGAGAAGAAGGCTTGAGTTTCCACATGCAGAACATGTGTTTTCAAAAGCGCTATCTCCTCCGTGTGTAGCTTCGTAGCAACTCTTCACTGTGTCACACAACGTGGTTTGGCGTCACTTTAATTTATAGTGAGCTGTGAACCAATCCGAGAGGCTGTTACTAGTATGTTAGCAATGTCAAGAGTGACCAATCAAATGCGACGTTCTACCTGAGCCACTCCTGGAAAGACTGTACTGTGGGCTGCTAACCTGAGATCAGGCCTTATCATTTTTTTTTTTACTTCTTTGCTTTTTTCGCAGGCTAGTGGGCTGCGGGATACATGGATTGAGGCAATTTCAAAATTGCTATGTCGTACCTTACTTTGCTTTTAAAGAATAACACCGAAAAACTCATTTTCGCAAAGTCCTGCGGAACAAATTGATCCGTCGGAAGCAATTCTATAAATCAAGACTCCGGTCCCATTTTGGTTCTTGTATATATCAGTTATCACCCTTAATTCACGCTACTGGCCAAAGATTAAGAATGGTTACGATGAAGAGTGAAAGAAATAAACGAACGACCGCGAACGAACTAAT